TGTAACCCTTTTTCACTCTGCCCCCCTACACTGTTACCTACACACACACACACTCCTACCACACGGTCACCCTCACCTGTCTCTGCGTGTATGTGTATCTGAGTGTCCTTTTGTGTCAGTGTGTGTGTATTTGTGTGTCAGTGTGTATCTGTTTACAATAGTGTATGTGTATCTGTGTGGGGGAAAATAAGTGTCATTGTGTGTGTGTGTGTGTGTGTGTGTATCGCTGTGTCAGTATGTGTGTCTATGTATGTGTGTATTTCTGTGTCTCTGTATGTTTATACACTGCACACATACTCCATACAAAAAACATGCTTACATCCAAACACACATTGTGTATGTATATTTTATATACACAAAATACACACACTGCATCCACTACACACGAACTGCAATTAAACGCAAACATTACATACAAACACACCTCTGTATTAAAACACTAAAATGATATACAAACACCCCTTCATTCAAACACCAACACTACACCCAAAAAGCACACCTGCATTTAAAGTCCAGCACTACATTCAGACGCAAACATTACAAACAAGTACACCACTACATTCCAATGGCAACAGTACATACAAATACTCCCATACATGCACATATATACTTAAAGGACCACTATAGGCACCCAGACCACTTCAGCTTAATGAAGTGGTCTGGGTGCCAGGTCCATCTAGGATTAACCCCGCCTGCTGTAAGCATAGCAGTTTCAGAGAAATTGCTATGTTTACAAATGGGTTAATCCAGTCTCTAGTGGCTGTCTCATTGACAGCCGCTAGAGGCGCTTCCGTGCTTCTCACTGTGATTTTCACAGTGAGAAGACGCCAGCGTCCATAGGAAAGCATTAAGAATGCTTTCCTATGGACTGGCTGAATGCACGCGCGGCTCTTGCCGCGCATGCGCATTCAGCCGATGACGGCCAAAGGAGAGGGATCCTGGCGCTGGAGAAAGGTGAGTTTTTTTTTTATTTTTTATTTTTTGCAGTGCATATCAGTTTAACATCCCCGCATGAGGTATCCCAACGACATTCCTCAAGCGTATTTGGAACATATATATATAACAGTTGGGTCAGCTATAAAACATGCACAATTTTATAATTATGTGATGAGCAAATTGTTGGATTCGTCACTTAGCTTATGTGGCTGGTGCTATAGCAAGTATCAACATCTGTATCGAACATAAACTTTCAAGTTTAACTTTGATTATCTAGCTTAGAGTGATATACAGGCTAGTCAAACGTGGAATTGTCTAGGTCTACATATGCTTATTCATTCAGTGTTTCACTACCTCTTCTAAGCAATATAATAGGAGTTTGCTTGAAACCTGAGTCTGCATGTATGGTTTATATTATATTCATAACAAGAGTATAAACAGACGCTTTTAAGAAGTGCTAGCTTAGTTAAGATAGGTGTTTAAATGAAATGATTTTGGCATAGTGAGTTATCATCTGCATTACCCTGGATGCCCAAACCGACAGTTACTGTGATTATAATTACAGAGATGTCCATGTATCGGCAAGTATCGCCAGGGAGTTATCTTTTAAGGCTGTCGTGAGTTCCGCAGTGCACTCCTTGGCTGCCTTTCGTCCCGAGGAGCTGGGATCGTCGTTGGTTGAGAGGCATCCTGTTCCCAGGCTTGGGGGTGACCCTCGCGGAGTACCCAGGCGTTCCACTGTATTCCGCAGCCTCATTTCGATCAAAGTGTCCTCAGATCGCCGTGTCCACAGTACCCGGTCAGTAGGTGAGTACGGGTGCGGTGCTTTGCAGCCCATAGTGTCCAGATACAGGTAGCGATATGCTGGGGTTGGTGTTTGGTAAGGACCTCTCCGGGCTCTCCTCCAATGTTGGTCTGTGGGTTTGGTGGTAGGAAGCGAGTTAATCGCGCCGCTGTCGGCCATTTTGTGAGGGCCGCATGGTAGCCTTAGACTGTCGGCGCTGGGTCACCCAGGCTTGCCGCCAAGATGTTTGCTTGCCTGGTGGGGACCGGGATAACCCCCGCCGGTCCAAAGGGGGGGGTGAACGGAGCCGGGAGGGCTCCATTTGCGTTGCGATTCTCATTACCCGGGGCGGAGAGCGAGGCAGCGGCCGTCTGCTCCACTCCCCTCCCGTGTAGGCCTCAGTCCACCAGCCCCGGGGCATCTCACCAGGACCCAGAACCACCCGGTGTCAGGTGCTCTAGCTGCACTGGGACACTCCAGGAGCATATACCACAAATTTCCAGGGCATTCCAAGTTGAGTAAGGTGGGTTTTGTCACCCTTATTAGCTGGATTCCTCAGGAGCCATAGTGACTTGCAGCCTGCTAGCATGGCCGCCCGGCCCCGCCCCCCCGAAAGGTGAGTTTTTAACCCCCTTCCTCTCCCTTCAGCCCGGCGGGAGTGGGAACCTGAGGGTGGGGGCACCCTCGGGGCACTTTAGTGCCAGGAAAACGAGTTTGTTTTCCTGGCACTATAGTGGTCCTTTAATATTAAACATGCTTACATTTAAACGCTCAAACACTACTCACAAATATAACCCTGCAACGATGGGCAAATGGTAGATTCCCAGCTGGCATAGCATTGTTGAAGTTCTCCGACAGATGGAGATCTACCTTTTTGGCCACACTTGCACTAGAGGGGGACCCAGAAAGCATACTTGCACCAGGGCCCTCTCTACATTAGTTCCACCACTGGGATAATCAATGTGAGGTGCCTGGATGAGCAGGACACAGAACGTCTGATTCTGACTGTGAGTCTGAGTAAGCAGTTGTATGCCGCTAAAACTGATTGCCATGATTTGCAAAGTTTCTGCCTCTAAAACTCCATGATATGTCAACATTATGCATCTAAAACTGCCATGATATGCCAAATTATGCCTCTAAAGCTGCCATGATATGCCAGTTTTATGCATCTAAAGCTGATTACCATGGTGTGCCAATTGTATGCTTTTAAAACAGATTGCCATGGAGTGCCAATTTAATGCATCTGACTGTTTGCCAATTGTGTGCCTCTGAAGCATACACACCTCCCCTGGCTGTGACTAACACAGCCTGCACGAAAGCATGAGGACGTGCAGCGTCAGATAACAGACCAAAAGTCCATTTGGATTCCGGAAGCGCCCCCAGTAGCTGTCTGGTAGACAGCCACTGGAGGCAGACTTAGTGCTGCAATGTAAACACTAGGTGCAAAAGGGACACTGCACCCAGATCATTTAAATGAGCTGAAGTGGTCTGGGTGCCTACAGTGTCCCTTTAAACTTTTCAACAGAATGCTGATGAATTTTGTTTATAAAACGGTGGTGGGTAGTTTAGTTTCTAAAGTGAGAATTGACAATAGAAACAAGATAATTGCAAATTTGTGGACAAATTTTAAAGTGTGAATTTTTGTAAATTCTGACTTTAGGCCAAATAGCTGAACTAAGCATATTCTTTGGTGATTTTAAGTAGTCATGGTGCCTATAATCTGTATGTGATTTGAAGTGCTGTACATACAGAGATTCACCCCTCTGCTGGTGTAACTCTACTACCGACCGCATCATGATTGCAAAGAATTCTGTATAAGCCAGAAGCACGTCACTGGACCACCAGGGAGCATTGGAGCTCTGGAAGGACCCATGTAAGGGGCAAAACGTTGCTAAACAGTTTGCTCTATTACCAGGGAAACCAGAGCAGGGTACATACGATATAATAATCTTTGCATCATGCTGTAGTGGTTATGATGCTTAGAATAACCCTTTTAGTGAAAATTGCCAAGAAGTGAATTCCGAATTTAGGTCAAAATAGAGATTATAAAAATTAAAAAAAAACATCTCCAAGTGAATTCTCAAATGGCATTGTAACCCTCCTTTGCGAAATGAGTATGTCATAAAGATAACATTTTTATGAAAAACTCATTGACTGTAGAATTTCAGTGACATTTCAACGCAGTCAAAAGATGTTCTGAGACATGGTAAGGACTACTTTGTCTCAGTATTTTTCCTAGGCTTGTCACTGGGCGATGCCGTCATGCCTTGTCAATCCCCAGTGTCGGCTTCAGGGAAATTAGCTCGATCTATGAAGGATCCTGCGGCCTTGTGGGTTACTCCATTGACCTCGCTGCTGTACTCTCGAGCATGTGCGAAAGTACAGCAATGACGTTGGCTTGTGGCAACTGAAGCGCCGGAAGCAGAAGACGACCGTCACGCAGACAATGGTTTAGGTAATTAAAACTCTGTTATTCCCTAGGAGTCTGGGAGTGATATAAATGTATATATCTCACACACACTCCTACGGTATAAGTTTTTTTCTGTTTTTCAAGTTTGAAGTTTTTATGATTTTGTTTTTTTCTTCTTTCCTTACGTATACAGAAGGCAAGGAAAGGGTAAAATGTTGCAGAGCACAAAATGTTCTTATAAATCTGCAGATTTACTGGTGATAACTTCTACCTGGTTATTTGATCACTTCTATTTCCTGTTTTAGAAAACAGCCAATGTTTAGCGATTTATTTTTTTAATTTTTTGCCAAGCAGCAATTAAAATCTTATATGACACATCCCCGAATTTGCAGGAGCATCAACATTTACTCATTTTCAAATGTCCCTTAGTTGTATGGGCAACCAGTTTTTGTTCTTTGTTTTATTTTTTGCATGGTTCTAGCAAGATTTGCCGGCCCACCATATGCGTATCAAGCCACCA